AAAGAAAGAGAGAATAAAAAAAAAAACCATGAGTTGTAGTAGTGAAGACTGATTTGTACTGAATCATTCAGACCTTGACCTCTGGCCCTCCTGTGATGAGGAATTTAGATGTCAAATGGCTGGGGTCAGATGGGCTGGGGTGGACAAAGGAAGCAAAAACTAAGTTCAAGGTCAGTCTGTGGCACAGATTAGGGTTCAAGTTTTGGTCGAACCACAAAGGAAAATTAACTGACCCCTCAGAATTCTAACATCAATAATCTTGACCCCACTGACACCATCTAAATGCATCATAAAAGAACAGTATGCTCTATGATTCTTATAAGTAGTAACTAAAATCCTGACCAGGACCAGGCTACTGATTATGAATCAATGCCTTGGCCACCACCACCCCCTACCTCCCTAAGAATTCTGAACAAGCCCATGGATTCCTAGGATTATTGGGCAATCTGAGAGGCCGCTTACCACATGCAGGTCTCCGCACATTCCTTGTTTGGAAAGGGGTCCAAAAAGGAGGGAAATTTCAAAATAGCAGGTCTAATGAAACAAGTCAAAATTGTGTCCAATTTTCTTTATTCATTCTGATGTAACTTGCAGAATCATTCTTCCTGCATCTTGACACAGTTTTTAAAGGAACTTGCTATCCAAGACGGTTCAATCCTAAACAGAACCTATCCCATTCCGATAAGGAAGAGTGCAGTTATGTCAAGAAGAGGAGGGGATAAAGGGGAAAAGCTTCCAGGGACTGGGAGAGAAGTCACGTGGATTTCATCACTTCCCACAAACTGGGGGAAGCCACACCCTCGCAGGCTGCTAGCCTTCAAGGAAAAGCCATCTGGAGCCAGAACTGGGCCAGGAAGCCCAAGAACAGAGTCTCTAAACTTATTGAGACAGGAGACACTTTCTCTCCAGCCATTCACAGGTTTTAAAGGGGCCAAAGGGAAGAACATGAAAAGTAGTTAGTCCAAGAGACCTGTGCGTATCAGACAATTTAAATTGGCCTTTATTTACTGCCTCAAAGATGTATCACATCCATGAACCTTGAAAGCATAATTCTAAGTAAAAGAAACCAGCGAAAACCCCATATTGTATGATTCCATTCGAGTGAAACATCCAGTGTAGGCAAATCCATGGAGACAAAAAGCAGATTAGTGGTTTCCTAGGGCTGAGGGTGGGGAGAGGGGAATGGGAAGGGACTGCCTAATGGCTACAAGGTTTCCTTTTAGGATGATGAAAATGTTCTGGAATTAGATAGTGGTGGTGGTTGCACAATCTTGTGAATGTTATGAAAAGCATTGGATTGTGCACTTCAAAATGGTGAAGATGATACATTTTAAGCTATGTATATTTTCCCACAATAAAGTAAAATAAACCTTGAAAAAAATGTATCGTACCCAAAGCTTTAGTTCTTGTTGAATAGTTTTACCTGTATGCAGAAAGATGTTTTTAATGGCATTAAGTTATTTATGCTCATCTCTGAGCCCACCTAGGACCCTTAATGCTTATGACCTTCCATCAGCAAATTCCTAGCCCTGCCTAGGGAAAGACCCTATATGCATCACCAGGAACAGGAAAAAAAAGATGAAAATCAAAGTCCTAGCACCAGGATACGAACATCCCAGAAAGGACGGCTCTGTGACACAGAGTTTAAGGACAAGTTTGGAGACTAACAATGTTAGCAAGATAGTCCAGTGTCTATACTGATTAAGAGCTGAACCACATAGTCAAACAGACCTGGGTTCAAGTCTCACCCCTTGCCAACTATGAAAACCATAGATAAGTCACTTTACCTCTCTGAGGCCTCAATTTCCTTATCTGTAAAATGGGCCAAGTAAGGATTAAAACAATGTACACAAAGTGCTTAGCCCAGACCCAGGTGGCTTTCTTTTTTTAAGTATAGTCAGTTTACAATGTTGTGTCAATTTCTGGTGCACAGCATAATAGTTCAATCATACACATACATGCATATATTCATTTTCACATTTTTCATTATAGGTTACTATAAGATACTGAATATAGTTCCCTGTGCTATACAGTATAAACTTGTTGTTTATCTATTTTATGTATACTAGTTAGTACCTGCAAATCTCGAACTCCCAATTTATTCCTTCCCACCCTCTTCCCCCCACCGGTAACCATAAATTTGTTTTCTATTTATTTTATTGAAGTATAGTTGATTTACAAAGTTGTGTTAGTTCCTGGTATACAGTATAGTGATTTAGTCATACATATACATATTCTTTTTAATATTCTTTTTCATTTTAGGTTATTGCAAGATATTGAATATAGTTCCCTGTGCTATACAGTAGGATCTTGTTGTTTATCTATTTTATATGTAGTAGTTTGTATCTGCTAACCCCAAACTCCTAATTTATCCCTCCCCTCCCCTTTTCCCCTTTGGTAACCATAAGTTTGTTTTCTATGACTATGAGTCTGTTTCTGTTTTGTAAATAACTACATTTTATCATTTTTAGCTGCCACATATAAGTGATATCATATGATACTTGTCTTTCTCTGTCTGACTTACTTCAATTAGTATGATAATATCTAGGTCCATCCATGTTGCTGCAAATGGTATTATTTTATTATTTTTATGGCTGAGTAGTATTCCATTATATATATTATATATTTCATATATTATATATATATACCACAGCTTCTTTATCAAGTCATCTGTCGATGGACATTTAGGTTGCTTCCATGTCCTTTTTTTTCAGTTTTTTTCTTTTTTTAACATTTTTTATTGATTTATAATCATTTTACAATGTTGTGTCAAATTCCAGTGTAGAGCACAATTTTTCAGTTACACATGAACATACATATATTCATTGTCACATTTTTTTCTCTGTGAGCTACCATAAGATCTTATGTATATTTCCCTGGCTTCCATGTCTTGGCTATTGTAAATAGTGCTGCTATGAACATTGGGGTGCATGTATCTTTTTGAATTAGAGTTTTCTCTGGATATATGCGCAGGAGTGGGATTGCTGGATCATAGGGTAACTCTATTTTTAGTTTTTTAAGGAATCTCCATACTGTTTTCCATAGTGGCTACACAAGTGGCTTTAGTAAGCACTGGGTTACTGCAGGGGAGAGGATTATACATGGCCCAGTCCTATCCCTCTGCCCTTCTGCTCTCATGATTTCTGTTCTGCATGCTTATTTATTGATCAGCAAGTTATACCAGACTTACTAAACACCAAGACACCATTCTACATTACAAATATTAATTAATTTGACCTCATAACTCTATTGAGGTAGACAGTATCATTATAATCCATCTATATTTTACAGATGTGCAGAGTAAGACACAGAGGGGTTAAGTAATTTTCCCAAGGTCACACAGCAAGTAACAACAGAGCTAAGATTTGAACCCAGACAGTCTGGGTCCAGAACTCATGCCCTTAATGACTACACAAGTAAGAGTTTGGTTAAAGAAAGGGTTCTACTGCTTGTAAAGGAATGGGAATCTATTGCCCTAAGGAAGCCCTCTCAGGAACAGAGTGACAAAGAGAAGGGATGTCACCTATGCTGTCTTTGGGCTTTTTTGTTTCTAGGGAGCACCTGGCAGGAGAAAGTGTCTGACATCCGCAGCCAGATGCAAAAGCGTCACGAGGCCCCAACTGCCGTGCTTCTGTCGGCCCTTGATGAGACAGCCTGTGAGTATGGATTTGTGGATGCAGGTGGGCACCTGGGTTCCCCTCAGCCTCCAAGCCTCCTGGGCCCTGCAGCACAGGACTCCTCCCACAAGAGTTCTGAGGTCTCCATGACCATGGCCTGCAGGAATTACGAAGGGTGAGGACAGGAGTTCATGTCCACTGAAGAAGGAAACCAGGAGTCCCCATGCAATCTGGGGCCAGCCTGCGGGCCACCAGCGGACTGGGCGACTGCAGCAGCAAAGGCTCCTGTCTCATGAAGGGGAGGAGGCCCAGCAAGCACCTCCCAGCCCCGCCTGGCCACGAGTCCAGGGCACTCACACTCCCAGCTTTAGCACCCTGTGTAGCCCTATTCTGTCCTAACGTGGCTCCAGGCTTCTCAGCTGACTCCAGCTCTGGGTTTCACATATTCCGGGGACCCACTGAAACTGTGCACTGACTGCTGGCTGCGTATCTATCTGCCTTTTCCTGGGAGAAAGGGCCCCTAGGACGCACTAGTGCTTCAAAGACCCCTGAAAGACAGAAACATTCAGGAGCAGATGATGTAGGTGTGCTGCTGGGGATCTTTGGGGCGAAAGCAAACAATTCTCTTCCCCAGGGCTCTTCAACCTTCGCGGCAGTGACATCCCTTATAATCCCTTCTTCTATTCCTACACGCTGCTCACCGACTCCTCCATCAGGTAGGGCTTGTCCTTGGTGTGCAGTCACGACTTCCTCCAACCCCTCACTGCCCCAACGTGCAGCCTTCCCAGGAGTGGAGTGCCTGCCCCAGCAGGACCCTCCAGGAAGCCTCTGATCGGCTTTTCCTGACTCTCTTGATCTCTTGTCCCACGTACTCCAAATCTGGTCTGCTTAGCTGTCCAGCGCGGGATTCCTCTGACCTCCGGGAATAAAGGCCCTCTAGTCTTTGGCCCTGTCCCTAGAGACTCTCAGGATCCTCCTGGTCTTCCCTCTCCACCCAGGTTATTTGCAAACAAGAGTCGCTTTAACTCTGAGGCCCTGCAGTACCTGAACTCTGGCTGCACGGGCTCCATGTGTGTGCAACTCGAAGATTACAGCCAAGTCCGTGACAGCGTGCAGGCCTACACCTCCGGAGACGTGAGGATCTGGATTGGCACCAGCTACACCTCATATGGGCTCTATGAAGTGATACCCAAGGTGGGTCTGCCAGGCCCTGTCTCATGCCAGGCACTGCCCCCACCCCCCACCAACAGCCCAGTTAAGTCTCAGCCTGACAGAGTGGCCACAGCCCCTCAGTCAACAGTGGTGCTGGGAGTCCCCTTTTAGGCCTCTCTGAGAAGAGACGGAAGAAGAAGCAGGACGTTTGTCCACAGAGAGCTCGGATTGTCGAGGAGGCCGGGGGAGCACAGCCTGGTAGAGCAGAGGCTCTGAGGTCACCAAACCTGAGACTGAGAATTGGCTGTTCAGTGACTGTGGACAGGGGACTTAGCCAATCTGGGCCTCTGTTTCCTCACCTGTAAGATAGCACTAAGAGTCACAACCTCCAAGGCGTTGCTCTGAGGAAAATTAAAGAGATAGTGCATAGAAAGCCTGGTGCCTGACACACGGCAGACGCCCAATAAATGGTAGCCATTATGCTATGCGGTGTGTGGGAAACACACTGTCAGAACAGTCCGTGGATGGGCAGGGGCCAGGCTCTGATCCTTCGCTGAGCGCTGGCGCTGGTGCTGGCGGGATCCGGGAATGGGAAGGGAGGGAGACAGGGGAGGTTAGGCTGGACAGGGAGGACTAGGGAATCCCTGCACAGAGAGAGAGCATGCAAGGGAAGGGCATTGCCACCCCAGGAAATGGCCAGTCTCATCCCAGCTGGAGTTTCCTGCCAATCCTTTTCAAACACGGCCGTGCCTTAGAGAGGGCTCCCAGACCTCTTCCTCTCTGCCTGCAACAGGAAAAACTCGTAGCAGACGCCTACTCCCCAGTGATGATAACCAAGGCGGTGAAAAACAGCAAGGAGCAGACCCTCCTGAGGGCCAGCCACGTAAGTCCAGGGGCAGACAGACGAGCCTTTGGAGAGCTCCCGGTCTCATGGGTTAGAAAGGAGATCCTGCTGGAGGAGCCTGAAGAAGGCCCTCAATGAAACATAGAAGAGGTCGCCAAGCTCCTGGGTACCCACTCACGCTCCATCCCTTGCTCCCAGCATGGTACTGTGGTGCAGAGCCCCTACCCTGCAGCTGTGGTGTCTGAGTTCAAATCTCAGTTCCTCCACTCACCTCCTAGCTGGGGGACCTTAGACAAGTCACTGCACCTCTCTAGGCCTCAATTACCTCATCTATAAAGTGAGGGTCATAACTGTAACCTACAGTATAGGTGGTTGTGAGGATCAAAGAAATATAGCTGTATTATATAATATAAATAATATGTAATAAATAATGTATGTTTAAGTATATTAACTAATATACAATTAATATAAATATATTATACATAGTATATATACATACATTCACATACATATAAATATATAACTATAGAAATACATGATATTTATAAGTATATAGTTATATATGTATAAATATAATTACATAATTATATATTTTATATATATTGCTTTGAGCACTGCCTGGCACATTCCAAATGTTAGATGAGAGTTATCTGTAATAATTTTCTCACCAGGGGAGGAGATGGTTCACCCTTTTGGATATTCCTGTTAAAATTAGGATAAGCTGCCTAGTTTTTTTTTTAACTTTTCTTGTGGAAAATTTTAAACATATGCAAAAGTAGAGGAAATAGCATAATGATCCCCAAACACCATCACCCAGCTTCAACAATCATCAACTCAACTTGAGGCCAATCTCATTTCCTCTACAATCCCACACTCATTACCTCTACCCCCTACCCCCTGCGGCTGGATGATTTTTAAGCAAGTCCCAGCTATTTTATTGTTTCTTCTATCAACACTTCAGTATCTCTTAAAGAGATGAACCCTTTTCAAAACATGACCACACTCTGATCATATATATAAACATTAGTAAGAACCCCTTAATATTATCAAATAGCCAGTAAAACCCTCATGCTTTTAAATCTCATCTCCCAAAGCAATCACTCCATTGCCTTCATCCCGGAGCCCTGGCTGAGACCACTCCTCAGTCGGCTTCTCTGCTTGCCCCGCTCCAGGTGCGGGACGCTGTGGCCGTGATCCGCTACTTGGTCTGGCTGGAGAAGAACGTGCCCAAAGGCACCGTGGACGAGTTTTCGGGGGCAGAGCAGCTGGAGAAGTTCCGAGGGTGAAGGACCACAGCCATCCTCTTCAGCTGGGCTTAGTGTGGGGGGTGGGGGTGGGGGCCGGGAGGGGGATTGGTCTCCTTACTTACGGAGGAGGGAAGACCCTCTTTGTATTTGAGGGCTTCTGTGGAACAAGGAGTGATAGGTTCTTGGGTGGTCGGGAAGCTGGGCAGGGGTGTTGGATGACGTTCCCCAGCTCGCTGCAAGCGGGACAACTTGAAGGGCCACAACCCAACAGCGCCCCCTCGTGTCTGATTCAGGCATGGGCCAGTCTCCTGGGAGAGGCTAACTCAGGCGAGGTTGGCCCCTGGACCATTTGAGAGTATCAGGTTGAGGAGGGAGGTTCCCTGAGAGTCCGCTTGGCCCAGGCCTTAGGCAGACCGTAGGTTTGAGGCGCTGGGGCAGTTTTCCCATACAGGGAGCTAGGTTTCTTCCCTCTTGCTTTACTAAGACCTCACTGTGGGACAAAGGTCTTGGTTTCCCAACTTGTAAAATGGACGTAGAGGAGGAACAACTGGTGTCTGTAGTCCCTCCTTCTCTGACCTTGAGTGGTCTGTACGTGACAGGTCAAGGCTTGGGAAGACTGGAACCAGGAGGTGGGGCTGGGAAAGCCAAACGGAGTCTGGCTGAGGTAGAAGCAGCAGTGACCCTCACTTGCCCTTGTTAGATACCCTGGGGCCCAGCCCAGTCCCTGAACCCATTCATTGACTACTCCTGCCTTGTACTTTCCAGAGAAGAAGAGTTCTTCTCTGGATCCAGTTTCGAAACCATATCTGCTAGTGGCCTGAATGCTGCCTTGGCTCACTACAGGTACTTCAGGAGAAATAATTTTCTGGGGCTCTCTGGGGGACCTGAGTCCACATTTAAGCCTTGAGGCCTTCAGCATTGTAGGGGATGGGGGTGGGGAGTGGAACCCAGTCAGAGGTGGGGAATATCCTTTGAATTAAAAGACTCTAGTAATTACCCCACCTCCCCCAACCTCAGCCAAAAGGCTGGGACTTTGTGAGCACTCAGGGCAGAAGGACCTAGAAGGGAGACAAGGCTATTGCTGGATTTTTTCCTTGGCTTCCTGTAAGTTATGTTTCCTAATTCTTAAAGCTCACAAGCACATGGGGAGAGAGGCCCATTCACTTAGCCAAGGCGGGCCCAAGAGGTAGGCTGGCCAGATGTTTGGCTCCATAGAAAACAGAAACCTACAGGCCGACCTGATGAAATTTGAGGGAGAGGGGGAATGTCAAGCTGACCGAATGCCTCAGCCTGGTGAGGGCAGAGCTGAGAGAGGGCAGATGCCCTCCAAGGGCTGGCCTGGCCTATCCCAGAATTCCCTCCCCTAGCATCCCCAAGCCTTCAGCTGCCTTGGCCCAGCCCCTTGTTCCCACTAGAGAGTGACACGATAGGAATTCCTCAGCCCTACCAGCTCCTGCTCTCAGCCCCACCCTCCCTTCCTGAGCCCTGGCTTCTTGGGGCTCTCTGCTCCTGGAGGCAGCAGGTCAGTAGATAAAGCACTGGACTGAGAATCTGGGTCCAGGCCCAGCCCCCTCATGCCTTTCCCTCGGGGCCTCCCCTCAGCCCCTTCTCTGCAGGCCTGTTTCTCCTGATATGAAAGGAGATGGCTGGGCTGCGTGCTGGCTAAGGCTCTCCTACATTCTGTGCTCTTTCCTATCCCCCCTCCCTGGGTACCAGGGCCTTGCCTGGGCAGGTGCGGGATGAACAGCTGTGCGCTGAGGACATTAGCAGCAGAAGCTCAATGGTCTCCCAGGACCCTTTGGGAAATAATGATGCCCCCAAAGGAGCTAGAAGGTCAGCCCCTAGGGGTAAGGGGGTTCCTCTGCTTTTGCTCAGGACCCCCACCCCAACCAGCTCAGAGTCAGGCGGCTCCTTTATCAGCATCTCTCCCCTTCCCAGCCCAACCAAGGAGCTGCACCGCAAGCTATCTTCAGATGAGATGTATCTGCTGGATTCTGGGGGGCAATACTGGTATGTACTCCTTGCCCGGCTCTGGCCTGGCTGTCTCAGCTCAGGCATCCCCCCAAAGCTTTCCCTTCCTGGGCTTGGATCCTTCGTCTCAGAAAAGAGGGGCTTGGATTGAATGTGCCTGAGTGTCCTTGCCATTTTCACATGTGGGAGTCCCTGCACAGTGGGCAACAGAGGCCAACATGGTGGTGCTGCCCACAGGTGCTACCCTGTGAGAATTAGGAAAAGACTCTCCTTGTAAAATGCTTTTTAAGCCCGCACATTATTACACAGTCCAAACAGCCATGCTCAACTGCCCTGCCTGGCTGCACAAACACTGCACCCATATTCTCACACCCACTCATGCACACCATGGACATGGCCCGCGTGCCACCAGCGCGATGCACAGTCCTCAGCCCCCTGTTCCCCCACTGCACGGTGAGATGACCATGTCAAGGGGACTGGGGACAGGATCAGGCCTCCAAGAGCAGTAGGCAGGCGAGAGACACAACCTCAGGGGATGCCTGCAGCACAGTTGGGACAGGGCACACCCATCAGCATGGGGATAGGTCTGTGCATAGATATCTGTGTATGTTCTTCTGACCACATGCATGACCACAGATAGGGTTATACAGAAGGACACTGTCTCCTGCTCCAGGACTCCACAATCTGTGCATCCACTTGTGTATGCTCACTGAAATTAGTACATACCCATGCAGTGAACGGCATTCCTTTAGATGGGTTACCCTTGTACAGTGCATAACCTGAACACCCAGACATGACAGCCATGCAGACTAGGCTAAGCCCATTCCTTTCAAATATAGGACCAATAATTCACCCGGGAGCTGATCTGAAATGAGCTGGAAGATTTCCCCCTCTCATCTAGGGAGCAAGTGGAGTGTGGGAAGTTTAGACAGGAGGAAAGGAAGGGATGTGCTGAACTGATGAAAGAACAAGGAATAGTTTCCCATCCTCTATCCTGTGCTGAATGTACTAATGACAAAGGCTCTTTGCTGGGCTCTGGGAGCCAGCCTGGCAGGCGCGCAGCCCAGCAGCCTTTGCAGTCTCCAGCGCGGCGCTGTGCGTGCTTGAGATGGCCGATGCACAAAGGGGAAGTGAATTTGTGGGGCGTTGCTGGATTGGGGCATGCTCGAGTGGGGTGAGGCCGGGGAAATGGTCACCTCACTTCCTCTTCTCTCCTTCTGAGGAAGTCGGCACGCCCTGTGACCTGCTCCCAAGGAAGAGTCCCTAGGGCCCTGGGACCATTACCCCATAACACCCCCTGGAGTGGCCACAGTGGCCAGCCTAGGGGAACGGCTGCAGGCGACTGTTTGGCTTCTGACTTCAGGTCACTGGGACTCTGAGCAAATCCCTGGGGCAGATCCGTGTTTACAGTGGACAGAACTGTGCAGAGTCAGTGCTTGCACCAGCCCTGGCCTCTCTGTGGCTCAGAGAGGGAGACGGCCTCATGGCTTCAGTTGCGTCATCTGTGAAATGGGGATAATAAGGTCAGGTCTGCCTCCCTTTCCAAGGAGCTGCAAAGTGTTCTGCAAACAGTCAATAAGTATATGAATGTATGAGTGTTATGATCTCTCTGGATCTCAGTTTCCTCTTCTGTGAGAATGGGACGATCCCCTCCTGCTTCCCAGGAAGCCTGGAAGAGGCCTTGCTTCTAGAGCCAGGCTGGCCCAAGGAAACCCAGATTCACAAAACAGCCAAAATGGGTGGGGGTGAGGGTGGAGGATGTATGTGGGGAATCGGAATTTTTAGACAACACGGTATTGTGATACCATGTGAACGTGATAGCTTTGCAGAGCCCCTTCCTGCTTAGACGCTGAGGATGGGAATTGCATGACAACAGCCATCTTGTTTCTGTCTGTCACCTCCCTCCCCGCCTCCTTCCCAGCCCTGCCCCTCAAACCCCCGTGGAAAGCACATGGGAAGCACATGGCCATGATCCCTACCCCAAGGTGCTCAGCAGAGCTGGACGTGTTGATTGTCCTTCTCCACAGGGACGGGACAACAGACATCACCAGAACAGTCCACTGGGGCACCCCCTCTGCTTTCCAAAAGGTAAGCATTGGACCCGATTTCCCTACCCACGCTCACCCAAGGGGCTCCCAAGCAATCACTCCACGAAGAGCCATTTGATTGTATAGAGGCTGATACTGAGGCCCGGGGAGGTTAAGTAGTTTGCCCAAGGTCACACAGCAAGGTTGTGCCAGAAAACCTAGTGTCCCTGACTACTCCCCAGAGATATTTCAGGCCCCCAACAGGGCCTCAGCCCAAGCTTATCATTTCATGTCAGTAGATCAGTGAACAAATGTTTCTCTAGTGCTGTCTGTGGGCCTAGCCCTGTGCTCTGCAGAAAGGTGGAAGACAGGCATTCCATTCCAGGTGGAGAAAACTGACACCAGCCAAGTCTCAGAGGTGGAAGGGAAGAGGTGGAAGGTTTTCAGGAATCAGCAAAGGCTGATCCACTTGGGGCTGAGGTGGGGACATGGTCTGTGTGCACTAGGGGGCATCTGTCTGGGGTGGAGAGCAGGGGACCCATTCATGCATTCAGCAAGCAGACCGTGGCTCAGACATTGTGCCAGAAAGAGAGAAAGAGAGAGAGAAAAAACAAACACTGGTCAAGACTTAAGGAGCTCACAGTTCAGCGGGTGGATCCACTGCCCCAGACTGTCGGGCAAAGGATGACAGGCCTCTGTGTGTGTGTGTGTGGTGAAGGGGGGGTTCACCACATTGCCACAGCGAGTGACCAGGAGAAGAGGCCACTGTCAGCCCACCTCCCTTCCCTCTTTCTACAAGGTAACATCCCCAAAAGAGCAAGGCCGACCTGCCGGATAATCAGGCCTCATCCCAACCTTAAGAGAACTAATGTGCGATGGTGATAATGGCAGCAAAGGGCACTGAGCTCTATTTGAGCATTTAGTCTGTTGGGAGCATCTTACACGCATGAGTCTACCTACTCCTCCTCACCACCTTATGAGCTGGTACTGCGATTGCCCCATTACAGACGAGGACATGAGGCACAGAGCGGTTCAAGTCACTTGCCCAAGGTCTCAGTTTGTGAGTGGCCATGTCAGGATTCCAGCCCAGAGAGTTTACCTCCCAAACCCCTACTGTCACAGCCTCAACTCACCATCACCTACAAGCATCTCTGTGGACCAGCCAAAGGGATCTGAGTGGACCAAGCCCCAGCTTCGGGCAGGTCCTCCTCAGCCTCCTCCGGCTGTCTTCCAGAGCCTGGGTGACCACACACGCGTACACGCCTCCCCCGCTTCATACCCCAGCCCAGGCCTGGGCCCACACACCTGTGTGTACACAGGCCGCGCAGCTGGAAACTCCCGGCTTCCTCCTCTCCCCATTAGGAGGTGTATACCCGTGTGTTGATAGGAAATATCGATCTGTCCAGACTTGTCTTCCCAGCTGCTACATCAGGTGAGTTTCAAAAACCAGGCTGGACCCAGAGCCTTAGGCCCTGATGTCACTGCACCCTGGGAGACCAGTGGGGCAAGGAATATATCATCATCCCATCCATTGTCTAGATAAAATCCAGCCCAGAGAAAGTGACTTGTCCAAGGTCACGCAGAGGGTTAGTGGGAGAGCCAGGCCTTGAACCCAAGCCTCCTGTCTCCTAATCTAACACAGCAGCTGGAGCCGGAGCTCAAGGGTGGGGGTGGTTAGTGTGGGCTGCAGCCATCATGGGAGGATTCCTGGAGGAAGCAGGTGTCTTGACAGATGGGGAGAAATTGGAGTAGAATCCTCAATCTAGGTAATGGGTACAATGTAGAACAGACTGGAGATAGGGCATGGTTACCTGCCTCTCAGGGGCCCCTCTCCTCAAGCACCATCCTAGTGGCTAGTCTGAAAAAAGAGAGCAGGAAGGGGCAAAGTCTAGGGTCCAGCCAACTGACCAGAAGCCATCTTTGTTCCAGGGCGAATGGTGGAGGCCTTTGCCCGCAGAGCCTTGTGGGATGTTGGGCTCAATTATGGTCACGGGACAGGCCACGGCATTGGCAACTTCCTGTGCGTGCACGAGTGTAGGTATCTCCTCAACACTCACCTGAGTTCCCCCGCTTATGAAAGAGGTGGAGCGTTTCACAGGTATGAAAACGACCGAGACCCACAGAGGTGCGGAGACCCACGCAAGGTTAACCAGCTGGTGGGGCACTGGTGCTCCACAGGGTAAGTGAGAAATACTGGCATTCAGGAGGGCCCCAGAGACAGGAGTGGCAGGTCAAGGCCCAGTGGCTGACCGGGAGATTCCAGAGAAATAAAAGCCAGAGCCAACCTGGTTTGTCCCAGCCCCAGGTAGACAATAGTGTGGGGGACAAACGCTGCTAAAGATCCCCAGTTACCCGTTCTTCCCCGGAGCTGGCTAGTTTCTAAGCCGCTGAGCGCAGGAGAGCTGACACCATGCCTGCATCTCCCTTTCCAGGGCCAGTGGGATTCCAGTTCAACAACATTGCCATGGCCAAGGGCATGTTCACTTCCATCGGTAAGGTTCTCGGGCTCCTCCAGGACTGCAGTCTAGGGAACGCCAGCCTTCAGGGAGCACGACCCTGCAGAGGCCCACCCCGGCTCCACCACTGCACTCCCTCACCTCCTCACTCCCAAGCCCCTTCATCCCATACCCTCACTTTGCCTGTGGGATTTGGTTCTTAACTGTACATCCAAACTCCAGAGTCTCCAGTCAAGTGCTGAACAGGACAGTGGCACACAGGGATATGGAAGTGCCTCCAGGACCTAAGTGGGAGCTTGAATGTTCCCCGCTGGATTACATATGAGGCCTGGCAGGTTGACTCTGCATAGCTATTGAGCATCTGACAATTGGGGCAGGGGTCTGCCGAAGCCAACATCAGGGGGGCAGCCGGGCCCTCCAGTCACTCCTCAGTTGGTACAGGAAACCTGGGCTTGGGACCTCCCCCTGCTTAATGTCACCAGCATCTCTTGTGTCTCCTAGAACCTGGTTACTATCAGGATGGAGAATTTGGGATCCGTATTGAAGATGTGGTACTTGTGGTAGAAGCACAGACCAAGGTAAAATGCCACTGAGATGGGCTGGAAGTGTGGGCAGTGTGGCACTGACTTTGGGCTGCTGGGGACAAGGAAGATCAAAGGGGGAATGTAATGTGTGGGCATGAATTTATTTGGGGTCTTTCTTAGCTCCAGAAAAATTCCATAAATCAATTTCTTAAAACTTTTTGCACATTAGAGTATTAGAATCATCTGGAGAGCTTTTTTTAAAAATGCCAATGCCCAGGTCCCACTCCAGACCAAATGAATCAGTACCCCTGCCCTAAATCACTGGTTCTCAATGCACATAATAATCACCAGGGGAGCTTGTTAAGATAAAGATTCTGTATAACAGCAACCAACAAGATAAAATATCTACATACAAACTTAAAATGACTTACATGGATAAAATCTCTACTGAGGGAACATAAAGAAGATTTAAGTAAATGGTGTTCTCTGGAAATAAGCCTTGATATTATGAAGATGTCATTTCTCCCTAAATTAATCTATAAATTTGAGACAACCTCAGTCTCAATGCTAACTGGATGCTTTTGTAACTTCACAAGATGATAGTAAAGTTTATTTGTCAAAATAAACATGCAAAGATAGCTAGGTAGCTAGGATAATTCTAAAAAAGAAGAGCAATAAGGGAAACTAGCCCTTTCACATATTAGCACACACTATGAAGCTGCCATCACTAAGACAGTAAGACACCAGAGATGGGAGAGACAGATGGAACAGTGGAACAGAATAGTCCAGAAATAGACTCTCTGATTTCCATAAACAAGATGGGAATTTAGTTTACTATGAAGCTGATGCTTTAGATCAGTAAAGAAGAGAGAGATTGTTTAATAAATGGGCAGAGGGACAAATGGCTAATTATTTGGATGGGGGGAATTAAACTTAAGAACCTCACTGTCACTAAAATTCCAAATGGATTGAGGTTTAAAGGTGAAACCACGAAAGAGCTAGAAGAAAACCTATATGACTTCATTTATAATCCCAAGGTGGAAAAGGGCCTTTCTATGTAAGACCCAGAAGTCATGAGGAGAAAGATTGATAACTGACTCAATAACTAAAAAAATATCTATACGGAAACAATACCATAAACAAAGTAAAAAAAATGTATGGCAAGTAGAGCACGTATGTCAGAGAAGGGGTGAATTTCCAGCTTTTCTCCTAAGTTTTTAAAAATCAATAAGGCAAAAGAAGGGAAAATTTTTGAAATGGGGAAGACATAAAGAGGCAATTCACTGAGATCAACACCAATGGTCCATAAATGTGAAAAGATGCTCAGTGATACCCAGTGCTGGTGATATTTTGATGATACTCAGTGTTGGTGAGCTTGTGGGGAAACGGACACTCTCACACATTGCTGGGGGATGTACAAATTGGTACAACCTTTCGGGAGGGCAGTGTGATAATATCTATCAAAATACATATTAAAAATGCCTATACCTTTTGTCTCAGCATTCCCACTGCCAGATATATAACTTCTGGATATAGTCCCCAAAGGTCACCTCATCTAAAGATGTTTATATGATGATGTTGATTGTAGCATCATGGTAACAATTTAAAAAGCGGAAACAGCCTAACTATCCATCATTGTTTAAATAATTATCTGCATATTATGGACCCTTAAAAAGAATGAGGTGTACCTCTCTGTGCTAATATAGAGCACTCTCCTAGGTTTACTATGGTGGGGGGTGGCGGGGGAGAAGGTGCAGTAAAGTGTACAGGAGGATCCATTTTGCATGAATTTTTAAAATATATACATATATACTGTATATGCCAAATATGTTTTCAGGAAGGAAAGCAGGCAGAGAGGAGACTTTCCATTTCTGTTGGGTATCTTTTCGTAGTTCAGACTTTCTAAGCACACACTTGCAAGAGCTCTCTGGGAGATGGGAATTGGGGGCTATTTTTTTCTTCTTTATACTCAGCTCCATAGATAACATCAATGGATAGATACACAGCTAGAGATGTGGATAGATAGACAGAGATAGAGATAGGTAAATGGAGATGGAAATTAGATAGAAAGATATAAAAACCTAATACCTTAAAATTATTTAAATGTAAGTTCCCAGTCCTGCTCTAAAGAGTCTCACTCCAGTGGCCTGGGGGACAGACCCCAGAATCTACACATTTAACAAGCTTCCTAGGTGATGTGGATGCACACACTTTGAGAAATGCAAGCCTTAAACTTCAGAAATCAAGAGGGAAGCACCAAAGGCGGGTGGCTAAATGGTAGACGGGGGATGGGGGTGGCTGAGGGCAGTGCGTGGGGCTCAGGCTTGACAAAGGCCAGTTCCCTGTGCCCAGGGCTTCTGGGTAGAGGGTTCCTTCCCTCTCTTCAGCCTAGCTCCTCCCCCTTGCTCACTCCCTGCTTTCCTGCCTTACCTGTGGCCCCCCAGTACCCAGGGACCTACCTGACCTTTGAAGTGGTGTCCTTGGTGCCCTATGACCGGAACCTCATCGATGTCAGCCTGCTGTCCCCCGAGCAGGTGAGCCACTGAGTGCCTTCTCCCTGGCCCGGGGCCTCTCTCGCCTCTTCTCCCCCTACCCCAATACCTTGACCCTTCCCCTCCCTCGGAAGGGTCCACACCGGTGACACCTATAGGCACACACTGGGGCATCCCTCCCCTGCTCACCTGACCCCAGAGCTTCTAGAACTCTCCGGTCAGACCAGCCTGTCAAACCCCAGGTAGTGAACTCCTGGGGCATCTGAGACTTGGTCTCTGGACTGTCACCTCATGTCCTGAAACTAAAAGCAGTCCCTTCCTCTCTGGGCCTCAGTCCATTCTTCTGTGAAATGGGGATAATAATGCCTGCCCTACTCACTCTCATTCCTGGGCCTGAAATCCACTCCCACGCCCCACCCATCCCATGTACATCACTGCGACGTTAAACGGCCACCGTGGAGAAGTGCCTCTGAAGACCCCAGAGAATGCCTGTGGCCTGATGACAGCTGGGGACCTATGGGGACCAGTGGGGACCTGGGCCCTGGGGGCACTGGATGGCACCAGGTCCTCACCTCTTGGCAGCTCGGCCTGGGGAGGCCCTCACCTCTCCCACCCTTTGCAGCTCCAGTACCTGAACCGCTACTACCAGACCATCCGTGAGAAGGTGGGCCCAGAGCTGCAGCGGCGCCAGCTGCCAGAGGAACTCTCCTGGCTGCAGCGACACACGGAGCCCCTGTCCGCCAGGGCTGCACCCGCCGCCTCCTGGGCCCCTCTGATGACAGTCTCCACTCTCGCCATCCTTGGCTGGAGTGTCTAGCGCCTCGAGACTACCCTCCTGACCCTCTGGCGCAGCTCCCCTCACCCCATACCACCCCCGCCTCAAGAGCCCCTGCTGATCCATTGCCTGGAAACCACTGCCCTCAGCCTCCTCCTCCAGGACCAAGCCCCTGGGGTGTGGGGCTTCTTGGTCCCAGGCAGGACCCTGCTCTGGGCTTAGACATTTCACCCTCAGCTCCCAACTCCCAGCCCCGGGACAGGAGAGTCAGCTAGTCCCTTTCCTCCTGTGAGCCCAGAAGATCGAACCTATGAGCTGGCAGAGCCTGTTGCTCCCCTCACCTAAAAAAAGACCAAGGCAGGGCAGTGCCCTCCCCGCCAGGGGCTCCATGCCCTGAGAGAGCCCCAAGCTACCACCACCTGCTGGATATAGCCAGACCCACGCCGGCTCCTGACTTTCTGGTCTTCCTGCACCCTGGAGGCCGCCTCTGGCCACCCCCACTTGTCCTTGGCCCTACAGTGGCCTCTGGGCTGCAGCCCACAGGCTGAAGGAACAAGGGCTGCCTCCAGGCTCCCTGCTATGCCTGTAGAGGGAGAGGAAGGGCAGGTGGCTGAGTCCTCTGGCTGTGTTACCGCCACCCCAGGGTCAGGGAGATCAGCCAGGGAAGGGGCATGTAAACCAGCCCCAGGGACATCCACATGTGAGCCCATCGCTCCTAAACCTTGGGGGGCTCCATGCCGATTGACAGCACAGGGAGCTAAGCCATAGGAATTTGGCCACGGGATAGGGAACCACTCTGGAATATGGCCCTACCCAAAATTGGGAACAGACTGATAGCCGTGTCCAATCACTATCCCAGACTTCCTGGCACGTGGGTACCTTTGAACTTTCCACAGTGAGCCACAGTGACAATGCTGTTGACTCCTCCAGCATCCTTGGATGACCTTTAACATGTGTAGGCAGAATCTGGTTTCCCCATTTTACAGATAGAAGAACTGAACTCCAGAAGGAGTGGAACCTGCCCGAGGACACGCTGTTTGGTTAGGACATGTTGGGGCCAGAATGGGTCAGCAGTCCAACTCTTTTACCCTTTGGCACCACGCAGAGTTCCAAGTTCACTGAGCCAGCTGCCGGGGGCAGGGGGAGGGTGGGGAAGAGTTTTCTCTGGCTAGCCCAGCGGTTAGCCACCTGGGCTCACATCCTGCTAAATGCTTGAAACAGCCTGGCAACAAAGCGTGCCTCTGGGTTTTGCATCGTCTGCTGTGCTGCCGGGGACTGCTGTTACCTGTGGCTTTTGTGGTGGGGGAGAAAGGGGAGGGGTGAGGTGGGGGCGGGGATGTGAGGCTCCCAGAAGCTCAGTTGGGGAGCACATGTGCTTGAGAATGTGCATGTGAGCATGCGTGCGTGTACGTGTATTCGTGTGCATGCCACGCCCAGCCAACCACCTCCTGTGCTAAAGGTCGTGTAGCCTTGTGGACGGTACAGAAGGGAGCCCCTTGCTGGGGGCTTGTCAAAGGTGATCCCAGAAAGCACCAGAGGAGCACAGTCAGGGCAGAAGAGAACCAAGTCTCTGGGGAAGAGTACTGGGCAAAGACATCAGGCAGAGGAGTCCCCTAGGCGGTGACAGGTGAAGGTGACCTGTGACAGTTATCACTGCTGATGCTTGCACCCAAAGGCCCCAGTTCTGAGTCATGCTGAGAGCCTGTAGCACCCAACAATGGGCCTCCCTTTGCTGAGTCATTTGCTCCCTCACAAGCTCACCCCATAAAGACAGACACTAATAATACAATTAGTCGTCATTGCCACCGTCGTCATCATCATCCTCATAGTCACCATTCAGTGAGTGTTTAGTATGTACTAGGTACTGTGCTTTACATGCATTCTCTTAAAAATTTTTAATTTTATTGCAGTAAGAACATTGAACATGAGATCTACCCTCCTAAAATTTTAAGTGGACAGTAAGTACATTGTTGCATTTTCCCATTTCATCCCCACAACATCTGAGAAGATACTTCTATTGTTCCCGTTTTACAAGTCAGGAATGAAGCGAGGCTCATAGAGATTAACCAGCTTGCTCAAGGTCACTCGTCAAGGAAAGGAAAAAAAGCAGGGTTCATACCAGGCAAATGACTTCAGGATCCACTCTCTCAAAAAAGGCAAGGGGCCTGGCTCTCGCCATTTTACAGATGAGAAAACAGGCTGAACCAGGATCACAGGGCTGACTTAGAGAGCTGTGTTCTCCACACCAGCCTGCTTCCCCAGGGCCTGCCTGCCCAGGCCTTTACCTTTGACCCCTGACACTTGCTCCTGGGGTTCCCTAGGCAGCAGGAGAGCCTGGGTACCTGGCCAAGACCCACTCGCCAGTCTCAGCGCAGGGCAGCTCAAACGCCCCCACATTTTTGCTTTTAGTGCAAGACCCAGGGCTGCACCTCCTCTCCTCCCCACAATTTAGCTGCCTCTTCCAATCCACCATTTTGGGACTGAGAACCCTGGCTCCAGAATCAGGGCTGCAAAGGGGTCCGCAGCCACCCCAGCGCCTCCCTTCCTGGGCCTCAGAACACACTAAGCATCCTGCTTGAAGGGCTTCCCCACCCCCACCCCCACCCTAACCCCCACCCCCATCAGGCAGGGAAGTGTTCAGGGCACACACAGCAGGGCTACTAACACATGCAGAGCACTTGAGGCACCATTAGGAATCCAAGATACATAAATGCCCCCTTGGGCTCTGGTCCTTTGTTTTTATGCTGGAGAAGAGCATTTACTAAACCCCTCCTTGCCTGCTGATTGCCATTGTGGAGCAGGTCAACTTCCTTTTCCTAGGAGTTAGGATTCTAGAGTTCTAATCCCAGCTGTGGCAGCTGTGTGGCCTTGGTCAGGTTACCACCCCGTTCTGGTCTTCTGTTGTCCCTTCTGCAAACTACCTGTACCATCTTCCTCATGAGGTTCTGGTGAGAGGCCCGGATGTGTCAGAGCTCTGTAAGCCAGGAAGCCACACAGACAAGAGATGAAAATGCTGCTATCTACCGAGCGTGAGTTCAACTCTTGCCTCACCATTGGAGGGAAGTAAGGAAAAGGTTTGGGACACAAATTTTACATATAAATTGTAAAAACTAGATGGGCTTTTGAGCAGGAATCTAATTTGTGTTTTCCCAGCGCTGCTCCCCGGAGCCTGAGGTTCCAAAGAAATGCCACAAGGCAAAGCAGAGCCCTAGTACACCTGAAACTGACACAACACTGTCAATCAACTAGTCTTCAATTTGGAAAAAAAAAGCAGGCAGATGGGCTTCCTGTAAAATTGTATCGGAAGTAATTGCAGGGCCACCTTCTTGGTGATTGACCTGTGCCATTGTGCAAGGCCTCGTGCTTAAAAGGGCCCACTCTGTAGGTAATGTTCTGATGTCACTGTCCTGAAATCCTTAAGAATTTTTTTAACAAGGGGCCCCACAAATTCCGTAGCAAGTCCTGCTTAGGAGCCCAATGACCAAATAAACAAAGAGCAGGTTCGATACCTTCCGTGTCCAGATGGGGAAACTACGACAGCAGCCCAGAAAAAGGAAGGGAACTGCCCAAGGTCACGCTGCCCTTTGGGGCCACAGTTGGGATGAGGTCCCCAGCATCCTGACTCATCTCTGGGCTGGCTCCTCTCACTGGCTCTCAGTGTGCCTCCGTCATTCCCTTACTGCTGCTAACGAGCAAGCTGAGGCCCGAGGAGACCGGTTTGAGGTCACACAGCTGTGACAACAGTGGTGATGATGGGACTGAGCTACATTTTTTTACACTTTAAATCCTCTTTGGAATAGAAAAGAGCCTGCTTAGATGACACATGCACACACACACACAAAGAGTCTAAATGGTTCATTTTCAAAATTACAACTAAGTCAGTCCTCTCTCATTTGCCCGCCAGCTGCTCCAGCTGTTCGTGGGCTGGGGCCACAGAAGGGGCGGGGCTGGCTACTCTTCAGCCAGCTAAACCACGTCAGCAGTGAATTTTACCAACTCGCTGGGCATTTCCTCAAATCAGTGGCTGGGCACTCTTGGCGCAAAAAAAAAAAAAAGAAAAAAGAAATATGAAAGATTCAATAGCTACAGTTTCCTCTCTGTCCATCTCTGTCCTCCAGGGTTCTCTCAGCTGTAAGTGTGAGGCGCTCCCCAGCCCCGCCCAGCCAACCCTTGCCCTGAGGCTGGCCCATCTCCTCACTTCCTTGTTTCTTTATGAAACAGGAACTGAGCAAGCAGCTCAAATGAGGTAGGATGGGTGGTTGAGAAAGCCCCAATGGTCCACAGCAAGGCCATGAAGCTGAAAAGCTAATTTCCCTCCCAGCGGTCCTGAGTAGTCCTAGGCCCCCTTACTTGTCACACCTCCTGTGTTCCAGAATAGCTTGGACTGAGGGACCCAGCCCTTGACAAGGTGGAGACACACAGGATATGGGCCCTAGGGTCATGTAGCAGGGATTCAGTTGGGGCCCATATGAGATGTAGAAGCAGGTGCCAAGGCAAGAGGAGAAACTCCAGATGGAGCCTGGAGTGAAATTACATGGGGTCACCCACCAGGTACCAAACTTTACATGAGCTTCCACTGGGCTGAGAGCACTCTCTATACGTGTCATCTGGGTAAGGCTGGTTACACTTACACACACATGTACACACACGCAGATGTGCGTGCGCACACACAAACACCACACTCCCCCCCACCCCCGCAAGGCCCACATTATCATTGTTACCATCTTCACTAGAGCTCACTCCCCAAGGTCACTTGCCCGAGGTCATGTAGCCAGTAGGTGATGTATGGCAATTTGGATCCAGTTCCACCTGACTCCATTTCTAGGGGATGTTCTTCTGCTCCCCCTCTTCCCTAGAGCTCCATGGACTGCTCAGTGACTTTTGTTCTTGTAACCTTGGACAGATTCCTAGGCAAAGCAGCCCAGTCTCTCCGTCTCCCATGGAAAGGCTCTCCAGTGACTCGTGAGTGTGTTTTTATCTGAATACCAAAGCCCAGCCTCCTCTTCTGATGGTAATTGCCACAGCTGCCTGCAGGTGTTTTTTGTTTTCAAACCAAGACCTCAAAACGAATTCAGAAATTCAGAGATGACTGTCTTTCCCTCCCATCAGCCTCTGGGCTCCCCAGCGTTCCTTGAGCTGCAAGCTTGGTGGGTACTGTCTGTGTCCGTGAGGAAAGGATGCTTCCTGCCCAGGCCCCTCGCCCTCTTCTGCCCTCCTCCCACCTGCACATTTGCTCTCCTCACCCTACCAGCTTAAAATGACCGCCATGAAATCTGATAATGGGTCAGGCTACCAAGGTGGACTTCACCTTGGAAATGCCCAGGTATTTCCAAGGGACGATGTGGTCTCTGCTTGAACATTTCTCAAGACAGGAAGATCACTACTTTTCAGGGGCGAGCTAGTACCATCTGCATATTAACAATGTCTTCCTTGGACTGAACCCAAACCTCCCATTTATCTGTTCCCCATCATTCCTGGCCACCCAGAATACATCCCCCTCCTCTATACAACAGTTGTTTGAAGTCCACTTGCTTCCCCATCCCAACCCTCTAAGCCAGATATGACTGGTGTTGACTACTCCCCAGGTTGACTAGGGCTCCCCTATAGATCGCCCCCATTGAAACAACCCTAACTGTCCAGCTTTTATGCCTATGGTGCCACTTCCAGACGCCCTCCCCATCCTCATCACTCCCCTCTGCTTCAAGTTGGCCCTGCGGCACCTCAGCCAGCATAGGGTGTCAATTCTCTCACCTCCTAGTTCAGGAACTCTGCAGCAGAGGCACTTGAGCCACTGTGGTCAATAGTACAGGCCCTGAACCCAGACCAAGCCTGTGTTTAAAACTCAGCTCCCGCCCCTTCCTAGCTGTGTCGTCTTACAGTTTGCTGAACCCCTCTGAGCCTTGGCTTCCTCCCTGGAAAATAAGGATAACAGCAGTGCCTGCCTCATAGGGTTGTTGTAAAGCCCACCAGCACCTGCCCTGTAGTGTTATTATTTTCAACTGGATGCAGGTGGCAGGGAGAAGTGAGAAGAATCATTTGGGAAATTTTTCCAAATTTAGGTATTGCTTATCCAAACTCTAATGCGTTCTCTCAAATCAGGACTGTACCCATTCAGAGAGTGAAGGATGCTTTCCTACATGTCTGGGTCCCAACTGCCCAAAATATCCCACCCATGATCATCTGCCAAATTGGAATCTCTGGGGGCAGGTACAGATGCGGAGGGAGTTGCTCTATCTGAATGCAGGCTACAGTGATGACCTTTGTATATTTAGCAGCCCTGTGTCTGCCCTCTGAGGATTCACCCAGATCTATCAGTTGAACACGCCCCCGCACCCACTCCCACCCCACCCCCTGCTACCCTGCAACACACACACGCACATGCACACACTCTCTCTCTCTCCCCCCACAATATTGCTGCTAAATCAAGGCTCTCCTGCCCTACATTTATACTGGATACATCTTCGCCATAATAATTCCAATTTAAATTACTCACTTATGGGGAGGGGGGAGGATTAAATAATGTTTTTGAAGTGACTAATGTAAGCTCTTGGCAAAGAACAAGTGCTGGGCAGGTGTAAACTTGCTGTCCCATCTAGGATGTAAGCTCCCAGGTGCAAGGGACCTTGACAGCTATTCATCTTGCATCTCCTCAGAGTGCCTGGCACAAGGCTGCCCAGAGAGCTCTGAGGTCCTGTTTGCCAGCCCATTATCAAGTTTGAGGTGGCCTTGTTCACAGTACTGACCTGGATCACTTCTTTAGCTAAGGGCTTTGTGTACCTGCAATGTAACCTATAAAATGCAAATATGTTGCCCGGAAGGGAAACCTATTAAAGTGTTTAGGGCCCATTAGCCAGCTGGAGCCTGACCTAATGGGCTGGGGCCAGGGCAATCTGCTGGGAGAGAAAAGTTGGGGGAAGGCAAGTCTGGATGGGGGAGCCCTGGACCCCCAGAGCGGGGACTGCCTACCCGAAGAGACAGATCTGAAGAGGAGCCAGAAGGGCCAGAGCGCAAAACACCTGCTCCCTTCGGTCCTGGGGGCTGGTCGTCTCGTCTCTCCGTGCTTCTCTCGAGGTCCCCCCACCCCACCCCCATCCTCACCCCCAGCCCCCACCCCGCTGCCTGTTCCCAGGCCTCGGCGAGGCTGTCGCGTCCGCCCAGCGCTGGGGTTAGGTGGCTGCCTTTGAAGACTCTGCGGTTAGTGTGTGAGCTCGGCTCGCTGCCGGGGCTGCGCAAACAGGAAGCCGGCACATCCTGCGCGGGCCCGGGACATGCCGTCGCGGCGCAGGCCGGGAAAGTTCTGCCAGCGGCTGCCCCCACCCTCACCCAGGCCGCTCCGG